TTGGTTGGTTCCAATTTCCTCACTCCGGTCTTTTTTTCTCCTCGTCTCCATCCCATAGGACGCCAACGTGAAAAGACCACCGTCTTCTTCGCCCCCGAAGTCCTTCACCGCGACGTGGAAGTGTTGATAGGGTTTGTTGACCCAATCATTCTTAGCTCTCATCCAGCTACATCACCTGTCTGAACTTTGTTTGCCTTTCTATCTTTCAGCCACGACACAGCGAGCATAGACGACATCCAGGCAAGGAGCACTCCTCATCTCGGCACCGCCACCATCATCGGCGTGGTGACAGTGGAGATCGCAGATCTCATCGAGATCAACGACGTCGTTCTAGAAGGTGTTTTTCCCAGTTTTGACGTTTTATGGCTAGTATCACGTAGATCTACTCTGCATTTGTCTTGGGCCTAGATCCTCGTTACGTCGTCTCTTTATAGCCGGTTTATGATTTTTTCCTAAGATCCCACCAAACTACCCGGGCGTGATATTCGGTATCGCTTCTAGAATTGTAAATTATGCTTTATTTTATTTATATTTGTTTTAACCTTCCGTGAAGTGAAATAAAGCCGCGAAAAGTCAGCAAGTTCAATGAGACTTAATAGTGCCTCACGTAATGAATCGCGTATGTGTAAGTTAACCGAGGTTATGGAAATACCTCTGCAACTAGTGAGGAATGCGGCAACACTAAACCGAATCTGCTGTTGGAACAGAAGAATTATCCCATTCTCCCTTCTGTTCTTCGAACATCGTTGTGATATACATTGATGCTGAACACTTAGATCCTATTGTTAAAACCTATTGATCAGCCTATTTTTAAATTTCTAAGTCACTCCCGTCATTCACGTCATCATGACGACCGGAGACGTAGAGAGGATGGAGGGAGGGAAGGTGAAGGGAAAGGGGGACGAGATGGAAGTCCAACTGAAGCGCTATCATCGAAGGAGGAAGCGGTTTCCAAAATAGCTGCTCCACCATCAGCACCGAAATTACCGCCACCGCCCCCAGGTTTTATCCACGCAAAACCGCGCAAAACCACCGAGGAGGAGGTGGAGGCCGCTCGACAGCGTTTCCTGGCGCGCAAAGCAGCAGGTCTCACTCGACCCACCGTCGTGGTCTCCGATGATGAGGCCT